AACTGTGATTTTTTTTATATGTTGTTAAGACGTACGGCACTCCATATAAAGTTAAAAAAAAAAAAATAAAGTTAAAAAAAAAAAAAAACAAAACAAAACAAAAAGTTCTTCAAAATGGAATAATTATTATATCTCTATAAGATATTGTAACCTGTCTTCTTTAAGGTAATTAAGAAATCTTGATAGAGTGAATATTAGTCTGGATCGTGGCTTCACCATGACTTCACCAATATTTTGAAAGACACTCGTCCGTGAACAATTACCATTAATTTTAGTAATTTTTTAAAGAAATTCAATAGTAATTTATTAAGTAAATTAATAAATAAAAAAATTATTTTTTATTGTGCAATTAAAAAAAAAAATTCAATAACTCCCCTGTTCCCTTTAGGTTAAGCATTATTTGTATACGCATTTGGGCATGTTAGGGATCTAATTGCTTAGAGATCAATTTTTCCAAAAAAGTTTGTATTAAAATATGTTGTTAAAAAATATTTTATAAAAAATTAAAAAATATTATATAGAAAATTGATAAATTTTATAATAAAATTTTGTTAAAATTTTGTTTAATTCTTAACATTTCTCTATTTGATAAGAAATTAATAAAGAAAAAATTAGTAGAAAAGTTATTGAATGAATTTTATATAAGAAAAAGTTGAGAGAAACTTTTTCATTCAGTAAGTATGAGAATAAAAATTATTAGTTAAAAATTGTATCATAAAAATTAAAAATTAAAAATATCATTTTTTTTATTTTTAATATTAAAATAATTTATTTTATAATTTAAATTATAAAAAAATGAGAAATATAATTTATTTATTCGTAAGTTTTACATACCATATTTATATAAAATTTTTATCATTTTTTTTATTTTTAATATTAAAATAATTTATTTTATAATTTAAATTATATCATATTATAAAATAAAAATTATTAAATGAGAGATGAGATTTTTAATATTAAAAGATCCCTTTTTGTCTAATAATTATTATAATTATACAATTTAATATAATGTAAACTATATAGTAGCATATCCTTGATAGTAAGAGGTAGAAATATCTAAATAACCACAAGGAAGCAGCGAGAGAAACTGCAGTCAAAGCAATGAAAATTGTAGCCGGTGGGGGAGCCCACACCATGCCTACCAACCATCAGACTTCTACAAATTCTCCACCATCTTTTACTGCATTCTTATGACTCTCTTATAAACCCCCAACCGCCCTGCATTTCTTCCACCTCTCACTAACCAAAAACACATCTCTCCCCTGTTTTCTTCACCTCTGCTCCAAATTCTCTAAAACCACCAAATCCTGCATTCCATCATCAAAATTTGAAACAAAACACCTATTTTTTGAAGCTCGCTCTCTCTGAGGGAGATAGAGCAATTTGAGATGGGTTCTTCAAGAATTCCAACTAAACGTATCCGATTCTGTTTTTTGTTCCCTCGGATTAGCTATTAAATTCAACACCAGGTTCTTAAATTCGGTCCATTTTTAAAACTATTGGCCAAATTTGATCTTGGTATTTCCTTTTCCTCCACATACATTTGATTCAAATCTTTCTGCTATAGCCTTTTGTCTTCTGTATTGTCCCATCTCGAACTCTCTGCTTCGGGTTTATCTATTGAAGCAGAGAAAGAGAGAGCGAGCAAGAAGGTGGTGTTGTTGGTATAATGTCTGCGGAGAAGAACAGTAGCAAATCCAGAAAGGGTTTCGAAGAAACAGAGGAAATGATGGCGAGCCAGGATTGGGAGATTGAAAGAGGAAAAGGTCTTGATTTTGTGTTTGAGCGGCAGCGATGGAAGCCTGTTTTTTATGACGCTTCCATGTCACAGAGACCTCTCAAGAAAATCCGCAGCCCGGAGCGGCAAGAACAAGACCAATCTCAATCCTCTGTTTCCTCTGTTTCTCCTTTTCCACCTTCACATATTTTTCCTTTTGCTTTTGATCCATCCCAGCAACCAGTTCAATTCCCTCAACAATTCCAAACAAACCCTTCATTTATACCGGTTTTTCAAGCTTCACCCCATACTCAGCAACAGATGATTTCTTTTAATCCACAGCAACAACCTGGTGTTGGTTACAGCCATCAGCCATTTTTCACCGGCGATGCATTGGTATCACAGCAACAACAGCAACAGCAACAGTTTCTCCTGTACTGGAGTGATGCATTAAATTTAAGTCCGAGAGGGAGGATGATGATGATGAGTGGACTGGGGCAGGATGGGAGGCCATTATTTAGGGCACCAGTGCAGCCTATAAACACTACCAAGCTTTACAGAGGAGTGAGGCAGAGGCATTGGGGCAAATGGGTAGCTGAAATTCGTCTTCCTCGAAACAGGACTCGCCTTTGGCTAGGCACATTCGACACAGCTGAAGATGCTGCCTTGGCTTATGACCGCGAGGCCTTCAAGTTGAGAGGAGAAAATGCTAAGCTTAACTTCCCTGAGCTTTTCCTCAACAAGGATAAAGGAACATCCACAGCTCCAACCTCAACCATTACCTCTCCCCATGGAAGTTCATCTTCATCTGCAACCAGGCACCAGAAACAACATCAAGAAGAAGAACAAGGTATAAAATTTATGGCTCCAGATGTGGGACTAATGCCAGCACCAGCAGCAGTGCAGGAGGACAATCCTGACAGTGAATCAGGACTAGTGATGAGTGAGGCTACTAGTGATGATGCACAGGTGACAGCAGAGAGTTCGGGTGCTTCAGCCTCAGGGTCACAGGAGTTAGCCTGGGGAGAAATGGCAGAGGCTTGGTTCAATGCAATTCCTGCCGGATGGGGTCCTGGGAGTCCTGTATGGGATCAATTCGACACCAACAACAATCTTCTTTTGCCTTCAAATCTTCCGTTTTCCAATCCAAATCATCAGCAATTTAGTGATTCCGATCTCCATAGACCACGAGACACCTCTGCTTCTTCTTCCTCTTCCTTTCCAATGAACCCCTTCTTTTGGAAAGATCAAGATTCATAGATTAATCACCGAACCTTCCTACTTTTTTCTCTCTCTTTGTGTGTGCTTTTCTTTTTTGTATTCTTAGAGAAGGCTTTTGGACCACCCTCCTAGATTTTCTTTCACTGGTAGCAGATTTTGACGAAAACAACCTCTCTTTCTCTGGATTTTTTTTTTTTTTTTTTCAAATTCTTCATATTTTCAAAAACCTCTCTTACACCAGACTGCACAAAAGGCTGCATATTTTTTAGGCCTTTTTGCTCAATGCTCATGCATTTCATTTTAAATCCTACATTTTCTCCTCCAATTGATAGTACTAGTAATGCGGTACTCCATTTCTGTCTCTAGGTGGTTTCGATCCGTTTTACATCTATATGCACTTACTTCTTCATTTTTCTTTTGAGTTTTTCTTTGTTGTTGATGTAGGATAGCAGATGCAATTGGGGACCAGCTTGGAGGGAGACAGTTTTGGTGATCTCCTTCTCACTGTGTCTCTAACTCCATTGCGAGCTTTGTTTTTCTGCTCGAAGCAGGGAATCAGTGTAGTAGCTTTGTACATCTAGCAGTCTGTTATATTCATCTTATGCTCCTCTTCTATGAAGAGTAGATGTAATGTTAAATCAGAGCAATTTCCAGCCCCTTCTCTGCTTGCTCACAATTTTCTCCTATTTCCTTTGGATAGTTTCTGTATCATGATATTGCTTCGCTTCGAGACAGTCTGATGATTAAGAATTTTGTCTCTGCTGCTTGTGTTTTACCTTGCAAAACTGCATACATCATGGCTTTTCCCATGAAAACAAAGATACCCTAAATTTGGAGCACTATTAATATCATTCTTTCATTAAAAAGATAAAAACGTCATTCTTTGACTATTCCCTCATATGAAATTTATCTCACTTTTTTTTCAGCAAATTTGATGTGTCTTCTTATTAATTTTTAAGCATATTAAGAATAATATCTTTTTAGACCATCTTAAAAACACAATTTCATATTAATTTAGTATATTTAAAAAAATTAATTTATTTAAGTATTAATCTTAAATCTTATATCTTACACTTGATCAATAAATAATATTTACTTACTAGTGAATTTAACTTAAAATGTTAGTTAACTCATATGATGATGCAATAGTATTTTTAAATCATGATATTCAAAATTTCATATAAAAATGAATTGTTATTACTTTCACAAATCTCAAAATTAATATCTATTTATAAATTCAATCTACAAAATAATATTTATTTTTTAGTAAATCAAACTTCTAAGGTGAAGTTGTGGTGGATACATGTGAGGGTTAGAACCAACTAATATTTGATAAATTGAGTTCAGGTTTTTAAAAGTCCAGTGGACACACGTTCTACCTCTCACATTCTCAAATAACCACAATCTCATTCACATTATGTTTCGCGAAATTCCGGTACCTAACATGCTCCTAACTCTGTCAAGTTGGGCAAAAACACCCATCAAAAAGTCATCCCCTTGAATCGCTGCAACATGAATACAAATGACCTTTCAAACTTAGATTCTATCAAGTGAAAGATTTCAAAGTCCTGCATAATTTGATACCTATCAACGCAAGTGGCAGAATGCATTCCAGTGAATATTCCAAGTCTCTAGAAAATGCCACAAACTTTTTATCTCCTTCCGAAGAAAACCTTTTCTATCTGGGAATCCTTCCATCACATAAGAAGTTTCTGGAATAAAGAGATAACACACTGCAAATACTTAATCCGCACCTTTCTACATTAATGATGGGATTAAGGCTTTTGAGAGATGTCATTAACTGGATAATGGTGAAGAGTGGGACCTCTCACCGGCCCATGAGATCATCTATATTTTCTTAATCTCAACGGCACGCTGATGATAATACTAGCAGAGATAAGAGTATGATATAATATAATTACAAATGATGAGTTAGAAAAATAAATCACATTAGTTAGTTTAAAGAAAACCATGTGCAAAAATATCTCTAGCATGTTGCTGTGATAACTATTATGCTGCTGACATTTTCTTTCAACCAAACCCAATATTGCCATCAGTATGCGGCTGCTAAATTCTTCTTTTGACAGGAAAAAAAGAAAATAAATATATATTTTGGTTTTGGTTTGGCAATAAGGTTGTCCGGTGTCAACTTAAACTTTTCTTAACATTAGTGTTTAAAAAAAACACTTAATATGTTAAAATTATAAAATTTATAAAAAATAACTTCTTCCTTGCCCTTCTTAAAAGTCAAACCAAAGCAGAATGGACAAGTTAAAAGGACAAGAATGACTCTCAAATCTAAAGAAAGGAAAGAAAAGAAAAGCACTGTTCTGGGCCTTTGCCCAAGAATCATGGGTCAAAACATGTGGTCGTTGTTTGTCTCCAAGCCCAAAAAGCACAGCTAATGGAAGGTTCTTGAAGATTGGATTGGACTAAAAAAAAATTGGGAAACAATGTTAAATCAAAACAAATCCAAAATTTGAGAGCTTATTGGACAATAGAAGCTGATGTGGCATATCTTAACTGATCTTATCGGTCTTGTTTAAGAGGAGCAAGCATACAGAAAATCTAGCTGGGTTCAAGAAAGGCAGTGCTGTTTTTCTTTGTATCTTTTGTTTCATGGCTCTTCAAGCAGCTTCTTTGCACTCATCTTCTCTCTCAACCTACAAAGAGGTTAGCTGCTATAAATTGCTGGTTTTTGTTTTTGGGTGTTATTGTTGAGATTAGAATATTATTCATTCTGAGTTGTTGTTTTGATAGGCCAAAACCAATGCCTGTCTCAAGGAGACCAGTCTTCTTTGGTGTTTCAGTGTCAACCCATTTCAGAACCGAGTTCATCTCTTCTCTAGTAGTAAGGCAGGTAAAAGAATATCTTTTATCTCTAAAATTGCAAATTTATCATTTTGTTAGTGAATTATGGCCCTTCGTTTAATTTCAGTTGCTATCAGACCAATACCAGATGCCCAAGATGTTTCAGTTGGTAACAGTTTGGATTTTTAAGTTAGAGTCTCATAATCGAACCTTGAGATTGATGGAATTACAGAAAGGGAGCACCATCCGTTATTGTACAGGTCATCATAATGAGATGCATAAGAAAAAGGAAGACAGATTCTAGATAGAAGCCATTTTCTAGAAATACCAAAAGAAAAATATTGAAGTTCAAATCATTCCATATGATTTTATTTTGGATGTAGAGTCCATAATATTAGGATAAAGAACTCTAAGGAAACACTAAACAGTCAGTTTTTCATCGAGAAAAATGCAATTCAATGGACTTCACTTGCAGGAAACCAGCAAAAATGATGCAGCTGCCCTGACGATTCAAGCTCAGACAGCTACTACAACTCCAGCTACTGATAAGACTGCACCAGAAGGAAAGAAGACTTTGAGACAAGGAAATGTTATAGTAACGGGAGCTTCCTCTGGCCTGGGTCTGGCTACAGCAAAAGTTCTATCTGAAACAGGCAAATGGCACGTAATCATGGCTTGCAGGAATTTCCTCAAGGCTGAGAAAGCTGCTAAATCCGCTATAGCATGGCCAAGGAGAACTACACCATCATGCATCTGGACCTTGCTTCACTTGAAAGTGTGAGGCAGTTTGTGGATAATTTCAGGTGCTCTGGTAGGCCTCTTGATGTTCTGGTTTGCAATGCTGCAGTTTACTTGCCCACTGCAAAGGAAGCCGTCTTATACTGCTGAAGGATTCGAGCTCAGTGTTGGGACAAACCAACTCGGTCACTTCCTCCTCTCACGCCTGCTGCTGGATGACTTGAAGCAATCAGATTACCCATCCAAACGCCTCATAATCGTTGGGTCCATTACAGGTACTAAGCTGGCTTGCTCCAATGACTCAATTGATTTTTGTAAATGATTTCTGTTTAGTTGTCCTAAATTTCCCACAATTTAATTTTAGGAAACACAAAAACCTTGGCCGGAAATGTGCCCCCAAAGGCAAACCTCGGGGATCTAAGAGGCCTTGTCAAAGGCTTGAATGGGGTGGAGAGTTCAGCCATGATAGATGGGGGAGAGTTTGATGGTGCCAAGGCTTATAAAGACAGCAAAGTCTGTAACATGTTGACAATGCAAGAATTCCACAGGCGCTACCATGATGAGACTGGAATTACCTTTGCCTCTCTCTATCCTGGATGTATCGCCACAACAGGTCTGTTTCGGGAGCACATTCCCCTGTTTAGGCTGCTATTTCCACCATTTCAGAAGTACATCACCAAAGGCTATGTTTCAGAAGAGGATGCTGGAAAAAGACTTGCACAGGTTAAAATCGTTCAACAGAGCCATATATCTTTGTTAGTGAATAAAAAACACTCTTTAACTCTTATTAACGGCTTAAGCTACATTTCTTGTGTGTGGTTCAGGTTGTGAGTGATTCAGTCTAACAAAATCAGGTGTTTATTGGAGCTGGAACAAGAACTCAGATTCATTTGAAAACCAGCTTTCAAAAGAGGCGAGTGATGCAGAGAAGGCACGCAAGCTGTGGGAGATAAGTGAGAAGCTTGTTGGTTTGGTTTGAATTAGCAAGAATCTTGACCCTGTAAATGGCAATGAAGAAAATCATCAATCATATGTAGAAATTTGTGTTATAGAAGATACTAAGATATTCAAATCCTCTCTCCCAGCCCTCTTAATACAACCAGAAAAAGAAATTACTTCTCTCAATTACTTCGAATAATACGTTGACTTGTGCCAATAAAATTTGGTACAGTAGTTGCAGGATAAATTAAGGTTCTGAAAAGGTTTTGATCATTTTCTGCAAATAAAAGAAAAATATAGTCACTAGAAATGTGACATCTATGGCAGGGACTTGATGGTCACGCTCAAACTGTGTTTTGTTAGTAAAAACACAATTTCTTTAAACGACCATAACGTTGTCAGAAAATGTCAGCAATCCCCATTGAAGTTCCTTATGATCATTCATTAAAAAAAAAAAAAAAAACTGTATTTTGCTCTATCAAAACAGTTGTAAAACAAAATCTAAAAACAAGTAAAAAATTGAAAACTAAAAATCAGAAACACAGAATGTAATATATATATATATATATATATATAAGCCATGACTGGATCTACTACCCCAACCTTAATTTTTGATGCCATTCTTTTAGCAACTTAAATTATCAAGCAGTGAGAACTTACGTGTCACAGTAGGTCTGCAGCGATGTGTATATATATTGAGAAGATTCATTATGCTAAACAACATAGCTGATAAACGTTTAAGCTTAGTGGGACAACAAAAAGCAAAGTAGTCGAGACATTTTCAGGGGGTGAGAGTGGACTTTAGTATTGGTGAAACCTTGTTAGTACCTGCTGCAGATATTGTGTATAATCGTCTGTAAAGCTCCAGCTTTGTTTTTTCAGAGCATAGTTGTTGTAAATGAAGGCATCTCAATCCTCTTCTGCCCCAGCGGTTGTTCCAGCAGCTCACTAAAGGCAACCAAGGATAGCAGTCTTGCAGCAAATAACCTAGCCATCCTCAAGTTTGGGCCTAGCAGATTCAAGCTACCAGATAGGTATATACTGAGCTCCTGGCAAGAGAGATGTGAGAAATGGCTAGAGAGAACTCCTATTTAGAGGACTGTGGTAAAATAAATATGTAGTGGAGATACACAAGAAGAGTCATTGTACTTACTTTTATCCTGAGCTATATTGTCTCCATTGTTGTCTTCAAATTTTTACAGTTTATGGGTCTCCCATTACCTACAACATTTTGCATAAAATGGCTCTCCATTTGGAGTGTTCCATTCTTCCATTTCCACAGGGAAGCCCTCAACGTAGAAAGGCACAGAGAGCCAACAATGAGACAGTGTCATCATCTGGGAAAGTGAGAAACATTGAAACAACCATCAATATTAAAGCAAAACAAACCATCTTTCTGTAGAATCTAGGACAGGGAAAAAAATCAACTCATGTAATTAAATTTCATATTTATTTTCATCTTTCAAAGCCACGTTTTATACAGTTTTACGATATACAATGAACTCTCCAACATAAATTATCTAGTTGATCCTCAAAAATGAAAAAAAAAAAAAAAGGGGGTAAAACCACTGAAGGGAAGTACAACACCAACAAGCTTAGATGGTTGGTTCAAACCATATTTAAAGGGAAATCTATAAACCCATACCATACAAAGGCTTTTGATTTACAACCATTAACACTGACACAAACTTAAAAATTTTACAGCTACTTTTAAATTTTAATCACTTAAAGGGTTCTTCATGCTAATTTGGAGATGCCTTACCACATTAAAAAGTCGACTCCCCAAGGAATTTTAGAGAACAATGCTTGTCCCCAAATAAAAATGTTGAAGAAACTTAGATTTCATATTTCTATCATTGGGTTAGTTAGTTTCTTAACTATATCCCTCTCTTAAAGGAAGAAATAGAGAATCTTAATGAATTCATAATTATGCCATAGCTTATGTCCATAAAGAAAGGAAACTGGAAATAGACCTTTACCAATAGGAATATTATAATTTTGGAGAGTCAAAGTGCAAGTTGAAGGAATCTTTATGTAGCTAATATGATTAATCTCCAATGGTAAAGTAATTTGTCTGAGTACCTTGATGCACATTTCTTCTAAATTATGATTATTCTTTGGCTGAACATGCTGTACCTTACTTGGAATTGGAATTTCATCATTTACTGATGGAAGAATATCCAACATTCCAACCCATCCCTGGGCACCGCTTTCTCCCTGACATGTGAATGTCCCAATCAGAATTGAGATAATAAAACAGAGACCTGGTGGTAGAGGTGGAGGGTTCCACCTTTGGACATTCCCCACTCCTCTTCATCTTTTAGAAAGCCTCTTAAAAGCCCCTCTTACACTTACTATGAAAATTAGAACTGAAATGGAGAAGATAATTTATTGGACTGATTTCACATCTAGTCATCTAGATGTCCAATTGTTTGAACCTCTCTACAGTTCTATCTTGTTTGCAGCCTTCAAGGAAACTCCGCCATATAATCACATCAGGGGGAAAAGGCATGCTAGAAATAAGTTGTTCTGCTTCCTTAAGGTGTCCATACCTAGCCAATAAGTCCACCACACAATGAAAATGATCCATCTCCGGTTCAACCCCATAATCACCACTCATTCTCCTGAAGAACTCCATGCCCTCTTTCACCAATCCAGCATGTCTGCAAACAGTAAATAGTGCAATGAAAGTAACACTATCAGGTTTGAATCCTAGAGAGTCCATTTGTCTAAACCTTTCCAATGCTTCATAAGCATAACCATTGATTCCAAATGCTGAAATCAGAGCCGTCCAAGTGATGAGGTTTCTATCCATCATTTTGTCAAATACTTTCACTGAATTTTCGAGGCTGCCACATTTTCCATACATGTCAATCAATATATTGCACACAAATGTATCACAAAGATTGAAGTCAGCCTTTACCATAAGACCATGAACTGAACTACCCAATGCAAGGTTGCAAAGCTTACTACATGCACTTAAAAGGCTAACAAATGTATAATTATCTGGACATAATTGAGCCATAAGCATGTGCCTAAATAGTTCAAAAACCTCCTTGTAAGCACCAGCACGAGCACAAGCAGAGAGCGCAATATTCCAAGATACAGTATCAGGTTCCTCAAGGGTAGAAAGCAATTTCAGTGTTTTATAATATTCACCAGATCTATTATATATTCCTGCAATAGCATTGGAGGGGACAACTGCAAGTGGACAATCACAAGCTGTAACAAAAACAAGGGCATCAGATATGAGATCATTTTTGGCATACGAATTCATGAGGGAGCACTGTACATATTCATCATGCCCATATCCCATCCTTACAATCAAAGAATGAAGCTGTTTCAGTTCTACAGCCAACTGTAATATGAGAAGAGAAGAAAATGTAACCTCATTTGGTCTGTAACCCAGTTGCAGCATTTCTTTTAGCAAAGAACTAGCAGTACCAGGACGGTGATTGGCATAACCCAAAATCAATGTGTTCCAAGAGACTAAATTCTTCTCATAAATTCTGTCAAAACAGTGATGGGCATCTTCCAATTTATGGCATTTAGCATAAAAGTCAACCAATGAACTACCAACGAAAACATCTGATTCAAAAGCATTCTTGACAGTTTTAGCATGAATTGACTCTCCAAAAACAGGGAAATGTAATATAGTACAAGAAGCAATAACATTTACAAAAGTAGTTGAGTTAGGCACCAATCCCTCCATGGACATTTTCAAGAAGTGCTCTACCGCTTTAATGGGATTCTTATTCTTTGCCTCTGCACCAATAATTATATTCCAAGAAATAGTGTCCCTAGCACACATCTCCTCAAACAATTCCTCTGCTAAGCAAATGTGGGCACATTTTACATACATACTAAGTAGAGAGTTTGCAACTGAAACTTCACAAACAAATCCTTTCTTAATCACTAAGCTATGAATCTGTTCTCCTAATTCCAAATCTTGCTCACGTTCAAAGCCACACAAAATGCCCAAAAAAGACAATTCAGTCAAGGGTAACTCCATTTTAAGGACCTGACGAAACAAAAGCATACAGTCTTTCACAAACCCATTATGCCCAAACAAAGATATGATAGAGTTCCAAGTTACAGAATTCTTTTTAGGCAAATCACTGAATATACTAAAGGCCTCATTTACACACTCATACCTTCCATACAAACCCAACAATGCAGTACCCACAACAGCATCCACAAAAAACAACCCATTCTTCATAACTAATGCTTGTAACTGACTCCCACCACAAATATCTAATGACTGACATGATAACAATCCACCCATGGTGAACTGAGTTGGCAAAAGCCCATAATCTCTCATCATGGAAAACAACTCCCAAGCTTCCTCTACATACCCAGACCTACTATAAGCACTGATCATGGTATTAAACGACACCACATTTCTATCCGGCATTTTGTCAAATAGTTTGCGTGCTATTGATAGATGCCCAAGTGATGAATAGAATGTCGTGATGTTGTTAAATAAAAAGATGGGTTGATTTGAATTTGGCCCCAAAGTGATACAAAGTGCATGAAGAGACTTAGTTGTGTCAAGGGAACGAATTGAAGAGCAAAATTTAAGCAGTTGAAGGAGACGTTGGTAGCACTTGGAAAAATTAACACTGGACGAAATCTCCATAGAATCAGGATATGCAGGAAAAATTCCTGAACCCAAATAACCCTGTTACAGATTTCAGGGAAGAATTACCTGATTAATTTATTACATTTGTTCTTCACCGATGACAGATACGTCAACGAGAACCGATTTTAAGTCAGATGCTCAGAGTAAGAGAAGGAAGACTTCAAATTTTAGTGGGTACCGTTAAGTTTGAATCTTCGGCTCCAGCATCGTCCCCGTTGGGCCGCCAGCAGAGGAAACTGGAAAGCTACCGTCTTTCCTGTGTTTTCTGGGATGGGACTCGGGATTATTTCGGGGTGTCGGTCGCCTACTCGCTTATGTTCTCGGCGACGATGTTTAGGTACGCGGGAAAGTTTCCTGGTGACATTATAAATACTGTCAGTCCTCTAACTTTAAACTGATTTCAAATTAGCACATAAACTTCAAATTTTATTATATGATAGCATATCCAATTCTTTCTTCTTCCCTTTTTTTTTTTTTTTTGGTATATCGGAAGTGTAAGGGTTAGGATTATAAAGAAACCCTAAGATTTGGATCCATTAGTAAGCAAATATTATTTTGTAGGTTAGGTCTAAAATTCAAGTATTAGGAATCAAATGAAATTAATTTCTTTGAATGCATTAAGTCAATTTAAAGATTCATTTTTAAAATTACTCAAAAAAAAAAATAGTCTGTAGGTGTGTAAAAACTGACATGAGAGCATTATAATTGTAAATACCAAAAATATATATAAAGATTTGATTATCTAGTGACTAAATTAAAATAGAGAAGTTATTTTTTCATATATTTTGAGGATAATTTTAGATATTCTTGATAACATTAACAAGAAAAAAGAAAATAATTAGTACACCGTCCAATTTAACATAACTATTGGCACTAAATGATTCAACTATTAAAATTTACAATTTAAAGTTTTATGTCTTTAATTTTAAATTAAAAAATAATAATTTTTTAATAATTATATTAAATTAAAAAGTGTCCACATCAATGTCCCATGACAAAACATGGAACTCAAGTGAATCAAAGTGGCCGTATGATTGCAATCACCATAGTATTTCCTTGCACTAATAAAGAACTTGGAGGATGTAATGTGAAAGAAAAGAATGTCATAGGAAGACATTCAACTAAAAACAACCTGGCAAAAGTAGCGACGACTGAAAAAGATTCCTCCTATTAATGGAGAGCCATAGAGAAAACCAAAACCTCAAAATACTTAATAATAATGAATTTAGTATTATTATTATTATTTGAACAATTGAGAATATAGGAATGGGAAACATATTTATATATAAAGAAAAAGAGTTTTATTATTCCCATGGTTTCTATATGATCTTCTGTTATTTATACTATAGTATTGCCATGGTTTGTATAGGATTTTCCTCTTCGGTTGCTTGAAATCTCCCCCTTGTCTTATAATGGGTTTTTTTTTTTTTTTTTTTTTT